TGGCACTATTCACAATAGCGAAGACTTGGAATCAACCCAAATGCCCATCAATGATAGACTGGATAAAGAAAATGTGGCACATATACACCACGGAATACTATGCAGCCACAAAAAAAGAATGAGTTCATGTCCTTTGCAGGTACATGGATGAAGGTGGAAACCATCATTCTCACTAACACAGGAACAGAAAACCAAACACTGCACGTTCTCACTCATAAGTGGGAACTGAACAATGAGAACATACGGGTACAGGGAGGGGAACATCACACACTGGGGCCTGTTGCGGGGTGGGGGCTGGGGGAGGGATAGCATTAGGAGAAATACCTAATGTAGATGACAAGTTAATGGGTGCAGCACACCACCACGGCACATGTATACCTATATAACAAACCTGCACATTCTGCACATGTATCCCAGAACTTAAGTATAATTAAAAAAAAAAAAGAAAGAAAAGAAAGAAAAGAAAAAGAAAAAAGAAAAAAAAAAAAGAAGCTCACAGCATCATTGCAAGTTTGCTATTTCCAGAATCCTCCGTGTGGTTTACAGGTCTGTTGTTACGCAGAACAATGATGGGGTAAACAGATAATAGGCAGGCATTAAAGATGTGCAATCTACAGATAGACTCCTTGTCAAGTCAATTCTTTCTTACCACTGATATCCATCTATGGCTAAGAAGGTCAGAATGTATACAAGCTAATATTTGAAGGGTTCAGTTTTACTGGAATTCCGTACTTTTTGGTGGTAGGCTTATTTCAGAAACAGAAGACTAGAAATCCACCTTTAGCTAAAACAATTTAACAGTGACCACACTGTCAAAGGGCACACTGCTCTCAGAGGTACATGCTTGAAGAACATGCCTTCAGCTGCCGCTTGCAGTGAACGACCCTCTGGAACACTTCCCATACCATTACTCTGTCCCCAACAGCTAATTTTCTTTCTCATACATGACACTTTTCTTAAAAAAAGTCTTTTTTCCCCAATAGATGTATTTGAATACTTATAACCCCAAGTGCAGAAAAAGCATTAGTTAGTATTTGACCATTTCTGATTTATAACTTTTTTCTGAGGAAGAATTTTTTTGAACTTTTTCCTTTATCCAAGGAAAAAAAAAAAAGCTCCACGCTGGTAACAATCAGATTCTACTCCTGAATCATTTATGGATGCTGGGGATTATCTGTATTACACTGTTAATCTCTTGGAGACTTCTACCCATCAAATTAGGATGCCCATGGATGCTGTCCTTAACTGAGCAAAACCAGGATTTGGTGCCCCTGTAATAATTATGTGCATGATAAACACTAAAACCAAACATTAACTTGGCTTTAGCAGTAGTTCAGGCTTTTTTTTTTTTTTTTCAGACAGAGTTTTGCTCTTGTCACCCAGGCTCAGTGATCTTGTCACCCAGGCTGGAGTGATCTTGTCATTATGTGATCTGGGCTCACTGTAACCTCTGCCTTCTGGGTTCAAGCAATTCTCCTGCCTCAGCCTCCTGAGTAGCTGGGATTACAGTCGCCTGCCACCATGCCTGGCTAATTTTTGTATTTTTAGTAGAGACAGGGTTTCACCATGTTGGCCAGGCTGGTCTCAAACTCCTGACCTCAGGTGATCCACGTGCCTTGGCCTCCCAAAGTGCTGGGATTACAGTTGTGAGCCACTGCAGCCAACGTAGTTTATTTATGCTATTATTCCTGGTTAAATTTATAACTAACAAATTTTTATTATTAGTGGTTTGACAAGGGAAGTACTTATAAAAAAATACACTGGCTAACACTCAGATCTCCTTCAAATCAACTGAACTGCTTATATAAGAATCTACACTTAAAATTTTCTTTATCTACTATGAATGAACCTTATAACTGCTGGCAATTATATTTTTATTCCTGGTAATAAAGTCATTGCAGGCTGGGCATGGTGGCTCACACCTGCAATGGCAGCACTTTGGGAGGCTGAGGCAGGAGGATCATTTGAGCCCAGGAGTTCTAGGCTGCAGTGAGCTAGGACTGCACCACTGCACTCCAGCCTGGGAGACAGATGGAGACCCTGCCTCTTAAAATAGTAATAGTAATAAAGTGGTTGTGTTCAGTCTCCAGTAGTAGAATAATTCCCCACAGCCACAACTGACGACCCTGGTAGTTTCTGGTGACCTCCCTTACTGGGCTAATCAGCACTTGATCGGAAGTCCAGGTTAGTATGTGAAGCCAGGAGTACTATTATTATTGTGTTAGCAACAGTTGCATTAACTATCTCAAAAATTACTGCCTTTAGAAGAAACAACCTCAAGCTATATTTGTATTCATAACTGACATGTAGATTGGGTTTATGTTTGATGCATTGTTTGGGAAATTTGCAACACAAACTGGCATAAGAATTACTTATTCTGATGATGAACTTTTATGTACTTTTTATTAGAAAGTAGAACTAATTTTAGATTTTCAGCTTGATGGATTTTCAGTTTTTCCTGAAGAATTTTGTTTACCATTAGTCTTCAAATTGGATACCATTGTGCAGTGGTATACTGTTATACTTCAGAGAAAGAGTAAGAGTACATCTAGTTCAGTTCCTATGAGGTAGCTGTAACCCTTAAAAATGAAATGTCAACTCTAGGGTACATTTGGCATTGAAAGAATAGTTAGGAAACAACTTGGTTTTGATGGGGTCATGATTAAGAAATGATATATTGGTTTTATTTATGGAATTGTTTTACAGTGCATACAAATCAGCGATCAGCCAACAAATATTTTTCTTCGAGCTTACGAAAGCTCTGTATTGTTTTGCCTTCAACCTGTTGTCTTCAAAACAAACAAACAAAAAAGCTTCTTGCACCTTCCCCTCCCCTCTTTTCTTCCTTTTTCTTTTTGCTTGTATGCACAAGGTAGGACTTACTTGACAAAATGCCAGTACTTTCTTAAGCCATGATGTGAAACCAGTGACCCTGTGACCACATGGCACAGAACACTAAACTTTGGTCCCATGGCTGAAACTTGAGGGTGACTAAAAGTAGTGCCTGTGAAACTTGATATCTACCTGTGATGGCCATTTGATCTCCAAGAGGAATTTTGTACACTCCACAGAACTCCTATCTATAGTAAAATTGATTTTCAGTTTTAAATGTGGGCAAAAAGGCATTTTCTCCAAGATTTTAAAACTAATTCTCATTTTTAAATGGTTTACCAAAATTTGTCAGTACATTTTACATGTAGAAGCATTTTAAAAATCATTTCTAGCAAGCACTTGACATCTAGTCAACTCTCTACTCCTTTATTTTGTTTTATCAAAAGATTAAGAGTTCCTTTCTTTGAATAAAATAATTTCTTATAATTAAGCAGCAGCAGATCAACCTTTACAAAGTATGAGGGATGCCAGATGTTGATAAACTTACTCTTTCTTAATCTGGACAAACTAAACTTAACAGATTTTTCTGATGAGCATGTTTTATGAATCCTCCATTGTGCTCCATTCTATCACATGCGCATTTTTCATGTTAAACTGCAACTACTTAATCTCTTCCCCTATCCTTCTAAATTAATTTTCTGTAGTTGGAGTGTAGTCTTTTCCCCCTTAGGCTATGCATTAATCGAAGTTTTCTTTTCACCACGACTTTACAATGCCTAGTAAACAATATTTCTACTTCCCACATCTTTGCTTTACACAATCACCTTGCCCTTCCTCCCAGCACCTAAGAAAAAAGATGGTCATACTAACAGGTGAAGTGTACAAGGTGTCTGTGTGTTTTGTGTAGCTTCAGAGTTAGATTGAAATTACCAGGCACAGATTTAGTCTTGTCATTTTGTTTACACACTGGGGAAAACAAACCAGTTTATTAAACATTTCATGTAACTGCACCCAAGTTCTGCCAAGTTGGAAACTTGGACCTTTTCTGTGTAGTGACTTTTTTAATTGTAGTTTTTATAACCTGGAGATCAGACTGTTGCTTTCGCATGATGTATGTAGGGTCTCATGACTGGAGTTTGCTTTGTTTTATAGTATCTGTACTCCTTATATTTTTCAAGAGCTATTTTGTAAACAGATGATGTATCTCTCCATTGAAAACACAATAAAAAAACACAGCACAATCTCAAAAAAAATTATGAGATATTTTTGTGATTTTTTGCTTGTTTGTTTAGCTCAGCAGCTATCATTAGTATTAGTGTATTTTATGTGTGGCCCAAGACAATTCTTCTTTTACCAGTGTAGCCCAGGGAAGACAAAAGCTTGGACACCCCTGCATTATAGGATCATGATACACAGTGTGAAATCACTGTTCCAGAGATGGGCTATGAAAATAAGGAATCAGGATTAATTCATGTGGAACAGACCAAATTAACTCCATGATGAGGCTGTTTAGTTCATCAATTTGCATTCAGTTCTCATCCCCAACCACAGAAAGTTTCCAAAACTCTTAGAAAACTGTTTTCATCACATACAAAAATGCAGTGTCTCAACTTCTAGAAGGTTGAAGAACTTCTAAAAGGTTGAAGTTTTATTACTTTATTAATAATAACTTATTATTATTAATTTATTACTATTATTATTGACAATAACACTATTATTCTCTCTTCTAAAAGGAGGTATGTTTTGCTATGTGGATAAATAAAGGTCTATAAATAAACACAGGTATAATATATTTTAAATGAATAATCATATTTTAAAACGGATGGTTTCTGTATTTGAACATCAGATTAAAGTTTTATAATTTACCTAAGGTTTATGACATCAGACATCAATTATATCATGAATAAAATGGTATAATTTCTATTCATATGTATACCTGATTCTGACTTTTACTGTTCTCATCTTCATTGTCAAAGATAATATCACTTTCAGAATCTGAAGCAGGCCTGAAAAAGAGAAACAGAGAAATACAAAAGGAACAGAAATCGCTATTATAATTATAAACATGGACACTTTTAAATACTAGAAAGCACAAGAGGCTACAGACAATACACCGTGAGCCCACAGCCATCAATGTATACTCTACACTGTGCTGATTTGTACTTGCTATTATGTAAAACACAGAACTCTTGATTTAATAAAAATGAGCCAGATTAAGTTTCCTGAAAAAATTTAATAGCTAAGAGTAATCACGAACTGTATCCACCTGGATAAAATAAAACAAAATCATGAAAGTAAACACCCAGGGTGGATTCTGAGAAGCATAAACTTTAGGAACGTAATTATTGGTCCTATGAGAAATTTGTCCTATGAGAAATTCTATTAAATGTATAAGATGAGGTATTGGATTTTCCTTTTTCCAGGGCTTGGATTTTGGAGATCTTTTGAAAATAGCAGGAAAAAAATCCTTTAGATTAGGGGCCCCAAACTCCCAGGCCATGGACAGGTACAGGTCCACGGCCTGTTAGGGCCACATGGCAGGAGATGAGCGAACATTAAGGTCTAAGCTCCATATCCTGTCAGATCAGCAGCAGCATTAGATTCTCATAGGAGCGCAAACCCTATTGTGAACTGTGCACACGAGGGATCCGGGTTGTGCACTTTTTCATCAGGCATTATGAGAATCTAATGCCTGATGATGTAAGGTGGAACAGTTTCATCCCGAAACTATTCCCCTAACACCCGTCTGTGGAAATGCTGTCTTCTATGAAACCAGTCGCTGGTGCCTAAAAAGGTTGGGGACCGCTGCTTTAGATTGCATTTGGTTACTCTCTAAAAGTGGGTTTAATTTTTTCTTTTTATTAAACATGGCCAACACGTCTGGATTTCTAAATGAATCTCCTTTTCCCTGGCTTGGACTTGGTGGGGATTAATGTTGGGGGGCATTCGCTGGCCCGGGAGGCGGAGGTTGCAATGAGCCAAGGACACGCCACTGACCTCCAGTTTAGGTGACAGAGCAAGGCCCTATCTCAAAAAAGGAAAGAAAGAAAAGAAGGAAAGAAGGAAGGAAGGAAAATGAAAGGAAAAAGGAAAGAAAAAATAAAGAAAGGAAACTAGGGGGCGCGTCAGAGGCAGCTGGTCCATGCCGTGAGCTTACAGGAAGGACTGGGAGAAGACGCCACCGTGCTCGTCCTCGTCGTCGTCCTCGTCGTCGCTGGAGCCCGGGCCGGTGGCGGGGAAGCGGGCGCTGGCCGAGCGCTCGCCCGAAGTACTCCACTCCACCGAGCTGCTGAGGATGGGTGGCGGCGCGGCGGCCTCCACGCTGTCCGGGCCGTCCGTGTCGCTCGCCAGCTGCCCGCGCTCAGCTCGCTCATCCTTGGCTAGGGGCCCGGAGTCCGGGGGCGGCGTCCCCGGTCCCGCCGGCCGCTCGTGCCGCTCGATCCAGGCGTTGTAGTAGCGCACAATATTCTCATGGTGCAGCCGTGACAGCAGTGTCACCTCGCCCTTGATCCTGCGGAATTGCCGGCTGGCCGGGTTGATGGGGATGCGCTTCACCGCGTAGCAGCAGCCATCCAACTTGTTCTGCACCTGCGGTCAGCCGGGGGAAGGTCAGCCGCTCGGCGCCTTGCACAAACCGGCATTTGCACCGCGTGACCCTATCCCCTCCCAAGGAAAGCGTGAAGTTCTAAATGAGTCCCACAGCTACAGTCAAGAACCACACGCCTGAAATTCTTAAACTGAAGAAAGCTTTGACTGCCACAAAATTCAGAAAACAGCCCACTCAACTCTAGATGTATTTAGCTTGCTGGGAGACCCTGGGGAAAACATAATCTCCGTTTTAATAATTACTTTTACTGACAGTTACTTCCCTGCTTTTCCAGTGTATCTGCTATCTAAATTTCTGTCTTGATTTTAAGATAAAGATTATTTTCTAAAGTCAGTGTAAGGTTTCAGATGATTTTAGTTTCTCTCTGATTTTTTTTTTACACTTAAAGTCACTAAAAACAAATTAAACTCCAAAAATATTAACGGACCTGAACACAAAGGTTGATTTCTTGATTTGTAAAGCCGTGTGAACTTGGGAAAATTACTTAATTTCCTTGATACTCTATTTTCTTATCTTTAAAATGGCATTTATACCATTTCCACTACCCCAAATGGTGACTGTAAAGCACCTGTATCAAGGCCTTACAGAGAAAAGTGCTTAGCTTAGTAAATAACAGCAATTGCTATGAACACAATCACTGTCCACTGATTTTTTTCTATAATTAAGATGATGTGTACTGAAACCAGAACAATACAATCAACAACACAGTAAAATAATAAAAAAGCAAGAAAACGTTGCAAAGGCAAGTTCCCCCATCCTACATAGAGGCATCCTTATGCCAGGCAGTTTCACTATGTAATTGGGGTGACTGAAGCAACTTTTATAGAGTCTTATTCACTGGAACATTGTAGTCCCATCCATGTAGGTCAACTGAGGTGATGATATACTCTAGAAAAGCAAATGCCATGTGGCCATGGGTGGCAGGAGAAATTAGTTCATCACAAAACACAAAACAGAATATCATTCTCTTGTTTGGCTAACAAGTTTCAATTAAACTAATGAAAGTCTAAGTGAAGTCCTGGGAATAAGGAGGGAGTACTACAAAATTGAGTTTCAGATTATCCTTTTTTGTATGGAAATAGTAACAAGAACACACACTTTGTAGTACAACAGAGGTGGGTCTGAATGCTGGTTTTATCTCTTAGTAGAGGCGTGTCATCTCAGGCAAAGGACATAACTTTATCTGAGCTTCAGTTCCCTCATCTAGAGAATGAGGATCATACCTATCTCGTAAGAATGTCCTGAGATTTAAAGACAAGGTTTGTAAACCACAGGGCACAAAATCTTAAATATGGCAGGTGCTCCAAAAAATGATAGCCCTGTGTTCTTTTACTGCCATATTAATAGGGAAGAGGACAGTGTAGGGCGGGAGGTGGGGATCTTGACATTGTCTTTCAATTTCCTGTCTCAGTACACATCACATACGAATTGGGTTGGGGGTAAAGCTTGCTATACTGGAAACCCCCAGGAATTCATTTACTGAAGTGAAAAGGTGCAGAAACAGTAATGGGTCCAACTGCTAATGAATGCCAGATTGCTGGGCAGACTGCCCTACTCTCACCCAGAAGCACAGAGATGGGAGGTAAGGGCTGTGGATTCTCACAGGGAGAAACTACTGGAAACGGTGGGGGCTTAAGTTACTCAGATGTTTTTGCTATATGAGCTTACCTATTATTATTCAGTACTTGTAAGGAGATGAAATTTGTTACTGTTCTAAGTTCAAGAATCTAAAATACAATGAAGTTAAAGGATTTGATCAAAATGATACTGTGTTAAAGGAACAGTATATGCTTCAATCATCCCCTCCTCTTAGACATAATTATGATCTTTCTGATCAGGACATCTGTCTTGCTTGTCTTTCTTTTACCACAGGAAAACCAATTTAATTCCTTTTTCAGTGTAAAAGTTTTTCTACAGTAACAGTAATGCTTCCTAATGATACTCTTAGAATCCTAAATAGAAAATATACTCCATTGATGGTGGGTTACCCTCATATGTGAAAGATGACATGTACTGTATATGGACTTAATATAATAATCTGGGTCTCCTAATTTCAAAGAAATACTTCAATTATACAAAAACAGCTGAAACCTCTTTCTACAAGGGGTAGATAATAATAAAAGTCACCCAAATAGACTGGAACGAAGAAAGGAAGACCTAACACCAGTGCACCTTAATAATACATCACTATTTTCCTGTCCCAATAATAGCTGGAAAATAAAAGCCATCGAGACCTGCTGGGGCCATCTCCCAGTTTGAAGTCCATCTCTCTTTTAACCTTAGAACCTTTTTATCTACAGCAACTCTAACAGCAAACAGGAGAAAAAAAGAACAATTTTCTTTCTGAACCAAAGCACACAAAAATGTTCTTTCTGTGGAGGTCTTGATTCCACTTGAAGTGCTGTTATAATCATGTGTGTTTCATCTTAATGCTCCACATGAAGCAAGGAAAGAGTGGGACATTCTCAACTGTGTCCAGCGTAACTTAAATAAAACCTTTAACTCCAGGAAGGTGACGATGAGCATAGTATCGAACATTCATATTCACTTCCCTCCCCACTCCCAAAATAGAAGTCAAGTCCATGAGTCTTTGCGGAAATGGAACAGAGAAGGAGCTCTAAAGGGGGTGGGGGGGATGACTCTGTACCACACCTTGATGACAGCTCCGAAAGCTCCTTTACCAAGAAGCTGTAATTCTTCAAACTCAATGAAGTATCGGGAAAACTGTCTCTGTGTCTCACTAAAGAAGGCAGCACTGGGTAGCTGGTTGCTAGGAATGACAGTCTCAACATAATCTTGTCCTCCAGAATCTGAGATAAAACAGAGAGTAAGAGGCACATGAGGCATTGGAAATTTAGGAAGAGCTACACAGCCAGCAATGATGGAAGCCCTGGAAGAAGAGCCCCAACCAGTAGTTTGAAAAATTATCTTAACCTGAGTGGCCTTTTAAAACTTTTCCTTGGCCGGGCATGGTGGCTCACACCTGTAATCCTAGCACTTTGGGAGGCCAAGGCGGGCGGAGCACAAGGTGAGGAGATCAAGACCACGGTGAAACCCCGTCTCTACAAAAATACAAAAAATTAGCTGGGCGCAGTGGCAGGCGCCTGTAGTCCCAGCTACTCAGGAGGCTGAGGCAGGAGAATGGCATGAACCCGGGAGGCAGAGCTTGCAGTGAGCCGAGATTGCGCCACTGCACTCCAGCCTGGGCAACAGAGCAAGACTCCGTCTCAAAAAAACAAACAAACAAACAAACTTTTCCTCACCTTACCCTCCTTAAAGTAGGCAGAAATATATAATTAGCCCAAGTTTATAGGTGGGAGGTTATACAGAGTAAGTGACTTAACTATAGAGTTAGAACCCAAACCCAGGTCTCATGATCCATCCCAATCTCTACTGAGGTTCCTTAATCTCAGGTGCAGCAGGAAAAATCTAGTTACATGGCACTATGGGTGACTAAATACTACAAGAGACTACAGCAATGGACAGTCCATCAGTAGAGACTAGAAAAATCAGGGTGGTAAAACAGTCCCATGCACATGGCACACATCAAACTAATGGATTTATGTGTAGTTCAGAATAAAAGACATAAAATAATACATGCAGCCCCTTCCAATTTTAGGTTTATGTACACTTTCAAAATAATTTAATGTCAAACAGGATATGAAATAAAGAATGGTAATAGACTCACCTTCAGGACTTTGTTCCACTAGAGGCGTTTTTGGCTGAGGATTTATAAAGTTGTGTTTCAACAACTGCTGGGGACTCCATCTTTCCTTGTCATCCAAGCACACACATCTCAATGAGAGGGAAGGAAGAATCTCAGCATCACATACAATCAGTGCTCAACTAGTTAATCCAAGGTATTAACTATGGGTTTTTTTTTTTTAAAGATACACATTAGAGAGTTCATGTTACTCATAGACCAGAATGTACTCTCACAGGTGAATTTAAATAAACATTCCTGAAGGATTTACATGCTATGAAACAGGCAAGGTACAAGAGGCGAATCAAAAAAAGGCGTCTCTAGATGCAGAAGACTTACCCTCATGGAACAATTTTTTAAAAGTCTAAGGTAGTGCAAGTGGCTATAAATTTTCACCTCGATCAACAGTTTAATGCCTTGTCATGCCAAACTAAGCCTTTCGGGAACTGGTTATAAATAAAGCCTTCTAAAGACAAAGCAAATCAGAGAGTTGGTGCAGGAGAGCGGCTCAGTATGACGAGCTTTAGATTACGCCTGCTCATTACAGGATGAAGTAAGTTGGAAACATTTAGGGAAGGCTTGTTAAAAGTCCCATATTCTATTACATACTTTTTTAAGAAATTGGTTTATGCTTTTTTTTTTCTTTTTTTTTTTTCTTGAAACAGGGACTTGCTGTATCGCCCAGGCTGCACTGCAGTGGTGTGATCTCAGCTCACTCCAACTTCTGCCTCCCGGGCTCAAGCAATCCTCCCATCTCAGTAGCTGGGACTACAGGCAGGCACCACCAGGCCTGGCTAATTTTTATATTTTTTGTAGAGAGGGGGTTTCCCCACGCTGACACAGGCTGGTCTCCAAATCCTGAGCTCAAGCAGTCTGTCTGCCTCGGCCTCCCAAAGTGCTGGGATTACAGGTGTGAGCCACTGTGCCCCGCCTCACATACTTTCTTTTAATCTTCATTCCTTGAACCCATTAACTTACTGTTTAATGGTATAATAGACAATTCTTGTTTTGTTTTTTAATGAAGAAAAACAAGCCATACCTTTAACCCAGGGCTTCTGAAAGTGGGGGTCCCTGGCCAGTAGCATCAGTATCCCCTAAAAAATGTTAGAAATACAAATTCTACTGCACCCCTGACCTAGTAAATCAGCATCTCTGGGTGTTTGGACAGTGATCTGTGCTTTAACAAGAGCTCCAAATGATTTCGATGCAAGCTAAAGTCTAAGTTAAAGTCTAAGTAGTTAAATTCTAACTGATTTAAGCTGGCCTTTTTAAAAAAATTTTTTTTTTTTGAGATAAGGTTTTGCTCTGTCACCCAGGCTGGAGAGCAGTGTTGTGATCATCACTCATGGAAGCCTCGAATTCCCATGCTCAAAGCATCCTCTTGCCTCAGCCTCCTGAGTAGCTGGGAGTACAGACATGTACCACCATGCTGGAATGCTTTATTTATTTTCATTTTATCTATTTATTTATTTTTTGAGACGGAGTCTTGCTGTGTTGCCCAGGCTGGAGTGCAGTGGCACTACCTTGGCTCACTGCAACCTGCAACCTCCACCTCCCGGGTTCAAGCAATTCTCCTGCCTCAGCCTCTCAAGTAGCTGGGACTATAGGCGAATGCCACCATGCCTGGCTAATTTTTATATTTTTAGTAGATACGGGATTTTGCCATGTTACAGGCCAGGGTGGTCTTGAACTCCTGACCTCAAATGATCTGCCTGCCTCAGCCTCCCCAAATGCTGGAATTACAGGCGTGAGGTATAGTGCCCAGCTGTGCTGGAATACTTAACAATTTTTTTTTTTTATTTTTAGTAGAGATGAGGTCTTACTATGTTGCCCAGGCAGGTCTTGAACTCTTGGGCTCAAGAGATCCTCTCACCTAGGCCTCCTGCAATGCTGGGATTACAGGTATGAACCACCATGCCAGGCTACTTTCATTACAACGGCACAAGTAGTACTTGACTTGGTAGCACTTCACCTATAATTATAAACAATATACTTAAAAGAATCAACTGTCATTGTGAGTTCTGGACTTAAAAATCTGTACATATAAAGTGGTGACAGCAACTATCATAAATGGTAACTTTTTTTTATGTTGCAGCAGTAAAAAGCAAAGTACTCCTAATTTCATAGCTTGAACAGGCAAAAAAATTCTAATAAAACCATTTGTATAAGATACTGTATTTCCTTTAAATTTAAAATTAATTTTTAATTATATCATTCAAACATAAATACCTTCTCCTTGCAAATATTAAAGCATTACTGATAACGATAAAACCTTTGACCAGCCTCCCCTTCCAATTCTTTTCTTCCACTTAGTGTGTATCATTGTAGAGATTTTTCTATGCATTTACACACATAAACATACAATGATCCAAACAAAATAGTATTGTTTTTTGATTTTTTAAAGCAATATCATCTTGTATATATTATTCTTCAACTTGCTTTTTTCATTCCACCATTTGTCTTGGAGTTCTTTCTAAGCCAGTACTTAAAGATTTTTTTTAAACTTCTGTATAGGCATGGACCTACCAGAATTTATTTACACATTCTCCTACTGTTGAGATTATTTCCAATTTTTCACATTTTCACAAAATGCTGCAATGAGCATCCCTATATATGCCCTGTTGGGTTTCTGAAGTGCATTATCAACTGTAACTCAGCTGTGACATAAATGCTATTAACTTGAAAGAAAATCTGGATCAGAAAAATGTTAAAGCCTACCTAGAATGCACAGTATTTTTAAGAGATTTATAGCCACCAAGATCTCACTTTAAAAATGAACTTCTCTGAACCAATAATTTTGGCAACAGGGTAGCCGTATATAGAAAAGGTTCAGCTTTGAACAAAAAGGGGTAAAACGCCTGGCAGCATCCACATTTCTTCATAGTTTTCACTACTGAGGACGGTGATGAAAACCAGCACTGACTCAGTCTGGGCCAAGGGCCAGAAACTTTATGGGTGTTAACTAATTTAATCCTCACAACCACCTCATGATGTGGGCAGCGCTATTATCCCAGTTTCACAGAGGAGGAAACGCAGGGCAGGGGGTTAAGTCACTCAGCCAGTAGGGCATAGAGGTGGGACCTGAACCCAGATGTTTTGACTCCAGAGTCTTACCCATCACAGAGGCTGATTTGAAACAAAATCTTTCTCCAAAGGGTGTTCAACAATATGTAAAAATATAACTACAAATGGAAGGTTGCTGTTTTCATTCTTTGTGAATGGTGTTTTTCTTTTGTTAACCAGGGCTGGACAGCAAAGTTCCTAAAACAGTTCTTGGCAGCTCCTTAACCAACCACAGTCTATCAAACCACTCCAGGGAGAGGAGTATACAAAATATTCTAAAGAAAAATCTTGTTAAAAGAATAAGAAGGCCATGAGCTGTGGCTCACGCCTGTAATCCCAGCACTTTGCAAGGCCAAGGCGGGTGGATCAGAAGGTCAGGAGATCGAGACCATCCTGGCTAACACGGTGAAACCCTGTCTCTACTGAAAATACAAAAAATTAGTCGGGCGTGGTGGTGGGCACCTGTAGTCCCAGCTACTTGGGAGGCTGAGGCAGGAGAATGGCGTGAACCTGGGAGGCGGAGCTTGCAGTGAGCTAAGATTGCACCACTGCACTCCAGCCTGGGTGACACAGCGAGACTCCATCTCAAAAAAAAAAAAAAAAAAAAAAAAAAGAATAAGAAATTGTGTGATCTCAAGTTTGAAACTGACAGAGCGTAAAGCTATTTAAGAAGAGAACTAGGAAAGTTTTAGCTACCGAGCCCATTCATTTTGCTACTAAACAGGAAAGGAAAGGTACTTCTACTTAAACCTCCCAGTGCTGTTTATAACAATACATAACGCTATTGCTAACCTTGACTAAATTACTCTTCATCAATGAAGAAGGCATAACACTAAAGGTGACATTTTGAAGATGGAATGAAACTTTCCATCTGTGATTCTATCATCATATTTGTCATTTTAGCCAACCTTATTGTTAGGGTGCATTTAAATAAATATTTTTAAAGTTCCATTGCATTAAAAAGATACCATAAAAGATTTCTTTAGAAATCTTAATATTTTCATATACTTTAAGGAGCAAAACCAACAAAGAATCAAAGTTGGCCCCTTTCCACAACTGTGTATGTGTGTGTGTATATATATATCTCTCATATTCACTTTACACAAAAACAATCTCATTCAAACACAAATGCAGCTACTTTCACATCTATAATGGTAAGATCATCAGTGACAGGGCATAACAGTGTAATCCAGGCCAACTGGCTACTGGGATAGATGGAATAGGAAAGAAATGTGAAGGGTAAAATAAATGTTGCAAATGGAAGAAGTGAATAAAAGCAAATGATTGGGAAAAAGAAGGTAAAAAACAAAGAGCGTCAGAAATGGAAGAAACCAGCCCAGGTCAACTCCTGCAGGACAGCTGGACAAGAGGAGCATCTGGAAAAATCCAGACTGAAGGGATCTTACCTCCCAATTAACAGAAACTGAGAGAACTTAGCTGTGGCTTGGACTGAAAACAGAGGCAGCACTAAATTCGAAAACACTTAAGTGAAGGACCTGGACAAACATGTTAGGCCTGAGGAAACATCTCAAGAAAGGTTCTCCCAAACAGGATAAAACTTGGCTTTGTAATTAATCATGCACCTGTGATTTACAAGCATTGAAAATTCTCTAGCTAGAGTAAGTAATTTATTTGGGTTCTACAACTTAGATGAATGAGACAGCCAATGAAGAATGGTTAAGAAGCACAAGGGGCAGAATCTCACTCCCAAAGCTATTACTGAAGTAAGAAGCCTTGTCTTTGACCCTTTAGGAACCAGAGCAAAGGTCAGTATTTGGAACACCTAGGGCATTTCTCACCGTAACAATCTCTATTGACTTCCAAGAGTATACCAGCAGTCCCCCAAAAGGAATTTGAAAATCAAGTGTGAATTCCAAGTGAATTTCAGAGAATGTGGTAGTTAAGAGAATCACAAACCTACGTGAGAAAACAGAAC